CATCACAGTAACCACAGTTGGATGTTGTAGGTACACTGGAACGTAATTAAAGCAATTGATTACATCTTAGTTTCCGTAAGGTGGGAGCTATTGACGCACAACTGGATGACAGTGGTGAGTGGTTGTGAATATGGACTTCAGGGAGGGCACTTGCCCTTACATCCTGGTGTTTCCATTGCTGTCTGGACCAATTGCTTAACTATTCTGTCTGCTTTAGTCACCTCATAGGGGGCTCTTGTGGAAACTGAATAAGATGAGTCTAGCATTTAATAAGTAATGAAGAGCGTAGGACAGGGCTTGACATGTGGAAGGCGACATGCAGCAGCTATTGTTATTAGCAATGATTATGACAATTACGCCTGTTAGGTTGCCGAGTGACTGTACAGGCAGCTAACTAATAGTGGCCGGTGGCCCCTGCGGAGCTGGTCAGCATCCAGAAAGTCCCATGTCTCTTCCAAACTCCCGCTAGTTACTCATGTTTGGGGGTCCAGTGGAAAGTCCTGCGTTTAGTCTCACTTGATATTTTTCAAGATGTCTACTAGAGCAGGTGGAGTGGCTGCCTCTGCTGTTGTGGTCTGTTGGATAGCTTTGTCAGTGGCTTGGGGAAAGTTTCAGATTTTCTCATGAAGTTGACAGAGTGAGGAAAAGTAGAGTAAGGGCAGAGTCCTAACTGGCAAGGAAATCTTGCCAAGCTAGAACGAGTCAAAGTGCTCACATCTCCAGGGATAAAAATCATCCCAAAATTTGTCCTCGGAGCTGGAGAGATGGCTCCGCAGTTAAGAGCACTGGCTGCTCTTGCAGGGGACCTGGGCTCAATTCCTAGCACCCACACGGTGCTCAGCACCATCTGTAACTCCAGTCCTAGGGGATCCAATGCCCTTCCTGGCTTCCTCGGGCACCAGGCACACTCAGGGTGCACATACATACATGTAGACAAACACACAAGTAATATCAGGAAAAAAATCTTTTATTTTATTTTTTTAACAAATAAGTTGGTCTAGGTTGGTTTTGGCTTATTTTATATTATTTCTATTTTAAGAATCTTCTCATAACAACTGCTCCTAGTTAGTGATTGTGCTGCCCATCACTGTTTGACTGGTTTTGGACCTCCTCATTCTTGGTGTCTCTAATTTCCCTCCATTTTGGCAGCGCTGGCAGTGACCCAGGCCTCCTGCCTGCTAGGCGCACGCTCCCAACCACTTCCCTTGTTGACACTATTTATTCTGGCCTGATTCACTGCCTAGAGTATTTTCTCAGCTCTTCTTTTTTAAGAAAAGAAACGGCACTGGCACAGTTCTTGAAATCATTCATATTCTGAGCTATCACTCCATTGCTTAGCCAGAGCATGATGTTTTGTTCCCTTTCGTAGACCTCGAAATGTTACTCGGTTGCTGGGAAGCCCTGTGTTCCAGACGGGAAGTCAGGTCAGGCTGAGCAACTCCTCACGGGCTACCCTTCCTTTTCTCAGGAGGTTTCTCATTCTCTAACTTACGGATTTCAGAACAGTTTTCCTGATTTGTTTTCCTTTTCTTTTAACAACTGCCTTTTACATAACACCCATACACACATATTTGTGTGTTTTTCTGGTGATCCCTCCCAGGTCCTGCATATGTCAGTCAGTCAGCCAGTCAGTCAGTCAGCCAGTCAGTCAGCCAGCCAG